GACGCCCCTGAATGTGGGGCAGAATGTACATGTTCAGAACTTCTGGAGACATGAGCTGCGGAACGAGGTTGGGCTTGACTTTGAGTTCCAGACGGATATTATAGGTAGGGAGCAGTTGGCGCGGATGGACAGATTCCGCCTACGTCCGGGGAATGCACTGAGGGCCTTCTACAGGATATTCACACCGGAGCACATGATAGATGTGCTGACAGGACGGATCAACAGCAAGGGCCGCATGGTGAGTATGATAGCACAGCTGATATGCAACAGTACGGAGATCAGCGATGAGGATAAGAAGCGGATGTGCCGGTGGGACGAGAAGGAGATACCGAGTGATCTTTCAGAGGATATTGAGTACATGATTGGATGCACCTCAGAGATCACTAGGGAGTTTGCGAAGTATTTCCTGGTGAAGATGGGTGTTATTGTTGAGAGAGAGGCAGCTGGTAGAGTATCCTCACGAAGACTAGGTGGATGTTTATTGCAATAAATTGGCTCACAACTTGAAATAGTCTTTCCCTTTAATTCTGCTTTGTATGTTTTACTACAGTAAGTCCTCGAGCATGGTCTCGAAGATTCTTTAGTTTGTTCATGTCTTTCTATCCTAGTCTTCTGGGACCTTCTTGGGCACTGAAGCCATTCCTCTTCATGATGGGATTGCTTTGGTTCATGTGCTCTTAAAAATAAATTCAAGAGTGTTTTATAATACAGCATAAGAAATTGGTAGAGATGTAAGACAAGCAAAAGCACAGAGTGGTAGGATGTGGTGATTCTTTGGAGGACTGAGTTGGTTATGGTACAGTTCAAATACAGGAGTAAACTAACTCTGAGGATTGTTGTCTTCCTCTGGAGACAAGCCAGTGAGTACATGGGAGCAACTCTATCGGTTCTGTTGTTTGGCAATAGACATTTTAGGTACTACTCTTGGGTGCAGTGGGTGGCTGGCATGATGCGTATGTATATACTTTTCAATGTCAAGAACCATATGCTGATGTTCAATAGTAACAATACTCAAAGAACATGGTGTAGAAGATAAAAGTTGAAAAGGGCATATGAACATAAGTATTTTAAATCAGCATCAAAGACCAATTTAATCAGTTCTTGACATTCGACTCATTCTTCTCATATGGTTCAGTAAGTTCGATGCCTACTTTTTCCAGTTCATCTTTCATATTGCTGAATGGAAGACTTGCATCTACCACGTTGAAATCTCGAACTATTAGAGCTCGTAAATTTGGAAAAACCTCTTTAATACTTGCATCAATCTTTGATATGTGATTTCCACACAAGCCTAGACATTCCAAGTTTGGCATAGCTCTGTATGTACCTTTCTCAGCATCAAAGTAGCTTTGAAAACTGACATACTCAATTTCATTATCATCCAAATGAAGCATTCTAAGGTTTGGGAGATTAGATAAGCATGGTATATCTGTCAATCCAACATTGATCAAAGACAACTCGTTTATCTTACTGAGATCTGGACTATTCAGTGCAGCAATATCAATTGTCGCATTTGATATCTCTAAGTTCCACAGTGATCAGTGAGAAACTTCCATGCCTCAATCGGGATATGACGAAATCCAAAACCTGATACCTCTAATGTTGGGGGTTTAGATTTCAACAAGTATGCTTTAGCTTTTTGAATTGTTTCCTCTTTGGGGCTACCATCTTCATTTAAAAATTCGTCTTCGTTTAAAAGTTTAAATTCGCTTAAAAATACACTGTCTGTTGGACTATAAATACAGTACAGGTCCATTGCCACAACTTCATGAATGTCATGTTTAATACTTGGATACTCATTGTGTTGGGCAAGATTCATTCTTTCAAAGTACTCATTGATTATTTCAGAGATTTCAGGATGATTCATAAAGGTAGTAAAGCGGCTGTCATCTTTGTCCTTGAAAACTCTGGGCTTGGAAGCCACATTGGATGAGGTGTTGTTGTATTCATTGCCTGGAGTGGAAGTACTTTGGAGCTGTACTCCTGAAGGATTGCCAAGTGCAGACTTTTGCTCAGTGCCCACCACAGTGCAGCTGGCATCTGAGAACAGCACAGGAAATCCAGCCGGCAGTACTCTGATCAGGTTAGTTGCAGTTTTTATATTGTACAAAACTTAGCGATTTGATTTGTGATTGGTATGACAGGGAGTGTTCAAAGGATAGTTGTACAAACCAGCTAGTATCTTCCAGAATATGCATGTCTTTCTTGCTGCTTATCCAAATAAGCGTATATGTATGTGATTGATTGGTCTCAAATAAAAGAATTTGCTCAGGAGACTAGACCAATGGTAGGGATTATGGTGGTGTGTATTAATGTGGATTTGTGAGGGATAATAATAGAGGATGGACAATAGAGGGTGTAGGTGATATAATAGATGGGACTATAGTAAGGTAGATTTAAGTACTAAGTAGCAAGGCAGTATAGGAGGAATGTTAGGGAAGTAGGTAACTAACAGACAGAGTAATAGTCCGTAGCTAGATGCACCCAGTCGATAGCTACTACGTCACTTAGTTACTGCAGACCCTAGCTAATATTCGTTTAGTTAACTAGATATTAGGGGAAGGATAATAAGTGGCTAGAAAGATATAGTAAGACTAATATTGAGTAGGGAATTAGAAAGGCAGATAGAGAGTGAGTGATTGGTAAGGTAGATATTTGGCAAGAAGATTTGAAGCTAGCTGAGCAAGGGATAATATTTTGTAAGATATATATGAAGGTGGTATATGGTAATGATGAAATTAAGTAGGGAGAAGAGTTTTGTAGGATATGGTGGAGGATAATTCATAAGTAGAGGTAAGGAGTAGGAAGGAAGATATAAGTAAAGTTGATATATGGTAGTAGGGTAGAAGATTGGTATTAAGTGATAGATATTAGATAAGTAAGAGCATGTAGTGAATAAATGGAAGTGATATATATTATAGAGTTTATAGATAAGGTATTGTGTGATTGATGGATACAATATTATAGATGATATGGGTAGGAGTATTGGGACGAAGGGTAACAGGAAAGAAGTATGGCGAAGTTGATGTTAAGATATAGAAGTGGGATTAGATGGATAGGTTGAAGAGATTCTGGTGAGGGGATGAAGCCTATGCTTATAAGTGATAGAGAGGAGATACTCCAATAGGAGATGG